GACCCTCAGGATAAACAAAAATTTACAGAATTTATTTTAAAAAATGAGGAGAATTTTGCGAAAGACGATTTTGATTTAGGTAGGTGTAAAATAACTGCTCCAACAATTTTAACAAATACTGAAATACCGATCCAATCGAGAGCTTTTAGAACGCCTGAAAAATATAGAACCGAACTTAAGGCCCAAATCCAAAAGATGTTGGAGAATGGAATTATTGAGGAAAGTAATACACCATGGGTTAGTAATTTAGTTCTGGTCCAGAAAAGTGACGGAAAATTACGCCCATGTGTGGATTTTAGGCCATTAAATAAAGTTACTATAGCAGACCCGTACCCATTACCAAGAATGGATGAAGTAATAAATAAGGTTGCTGGAAAACGCTGGTATAGTAGACTTGATCTGGCATCCGGATTCTGGCAAATACCATTAGACCAAGAAAGTTCGTATAAATGTGGAATGATCACAGAATGGGGATTATATGAAATGAAACGTTTACCGTTTGGCCTGAAAAACGCACCTAGTATATTTCAGAGAGTAATGGATAAAATTTTGAAAGGTATTGATAATGTTACAGCTTATATAGACGATATTCTAGTACATACAAACGATTTTGAGGCCCATATGAAAACACTGGAGATTGTATTAGATAGAATGAAGAAAAATGGATTTAAACTTAAAGGCGAAAAATGTGAATTCTTACAAAATAAATGTACATATTTGGGGCTAGAATTAAATAAAAATGGATATCAGCCGGCTCATAGTAATTGTGAAGTAATTAAGCAGTTCCCAGAACCAAGAGATATAAAGGAAGTAAAAAGATTTCTTGGTATGACTTCCTTTTTCCGCAAATTCATACCGAATTTTGCAACCTTGGCAAACCCTTTAAATAAACTTACAAGAGGCAGAAATCCTACATTTATTTGGACAGAAATTGAGGCTAAAGCGTTTAATGAATTAAAAGATAAACTTAAAGAGTCGCCTTGTTTACAACCTCCTAATTTTGAAAAACCGTTCCATTTATTTTGCGATGCTTCAAATATCGCTTATGGAGCAGCTTTAATGCAAAGCAAAGACGAAATAAACTTACATGCGGTTAGTTATTGGTCGAGGACATTAGCAGAATCTGAAAGGAAATTACCCGCAACGCACGGAGAATTAGCATCAATCTATAATGCGGTCACTTATTTTAAGCCAATAATTTATGGGTCTAAACTTAAAATCTATACCGACCATAGGCCTATTACATACTTGTTTTCTAAAGCAAGTACGAACGCTAAAATAAACCGCTGGCTTATGGCACTCCAAGATATAGAACCAGAAGTAGTCTATCTTGAGGGCACTGCTAATCGTGTTGCTGATGCTTTATCGCGTGTTTCAATAAGTTGGAATTCAATAAAGGACACTATGCCTAAAGAAGATACCCCTTACTTAATGGTAGCCATAGGTGAGAGAATAAACAGAGAAACCATTGAAAAAGAAACAGAAAAAGATAAAATTTTAGTGAAAATTTACAATGCAATAAAAGACAATTGGAATAATTTTCAAACTGACGATGAAACCCTACCTTATTTCCAAATAAGAGATCAATTATTTTTAGAGGGTAAATTAATTAAAAAAGGCATTGAAAGCCAAATAATAATACCTGAAAATTTAAAATTAATTGTGTTAAATTTAATTCATAATGGACATTTTGGTATAGTAAGGTGTAAAAGCAAAGCCAGAAAAGTAGTTTGGTGGCCTAATATAAATAGAGAAATTGAAGAATTTATCAAACTTTGCCAAGTTTGTCAAAAATACATAAACGATGAACCAAAACTGAGTTTAAATTATAAATGGCCCGAGGCAAAAGTAGCATTTGAAAGGATACATATTGATCTAGCCGGTCCATTTTTAGGGAAAAATTTCTTAGTAATAATTGATGCTTATTCTAGATTCCCCTTTGTATATCTAATTAAAAATACAAACTCTACCTCAGTTATAAAGAAATTGAGAGCCGTTTTTGGAATGTTTGGACCACCAAATACTATAGTGAGCGATAATGGGAGGCAATTCATCTCATTTGAGATAGAAAACTATTTTGAATCACAAGGCATCAAACACCTAAAATCACCTCCATATCACCCGCCCAGCAATGGATTAGTGGAGAGATTCATTCAGACATTTAAAAATGGTGTTCAAAAACTAATAGATTGTTCACTGCCCCTAGAAAATGCAATAGAGACAATTTTGATTGAATACAGAGCCTCTCCAAACCAAACATTAAATGGGGAGAGTCCAGCTAAATTGTTTTTAAAAAAAGAAATGCGAACCCCATTGGACTTAATAAAAATAAATACACATAAAAATAATCCTTCTTTAAATGAAGACACAGAAAAAACACAAAATTATTCCCCAAAACAGAAAAAATTTGAATTTAATGCATTAATATGGATAAGAAATTATGGAGACAAACATAAATGGGAGGAGGGAACAGTTAAAGAGCAATGCGGAGAGAACCTATATAAAGTTGAAGTAGATGGTTCAGAACGTATTGCACATACAGACCAAATGAGACTACGCAGGAGCGGTCTCCGAAATAAACCAACCTTTTTAGGTTGAGAAAAATTTTCATTAAATCTCATTATGTATATACCCCCCCCCCCATCTAATAATTTTAATTAATTCCATTTATCCCCTTTTTTGTATAATCAATTTGTTCACTGTTTTCATATAATTATTTTATAGTTTTTTAAACAAAACCAATTTGTTTTTAATTGAAATAAATCTTTTCATCATTAAAAATGACTACAATGGAAATCGACCAAGTTCTGGGAAACGACACTACTATTGGAGATGGAGGAGCTGTTGGAGGATCTGGTGGTGGACTAAAAACAACAGCTAATTCCACTAACAACAAGAAGAAAAACAACAACCTTTTTGAAATGATTCAAAAAGAGAATGAGGATATTAAAGAAATTTTTAAAAATACTCACGATTATATTCGTGAAGCCATCGTTAATCAATCTAAAGAAGTTGTAGCAGAGATCCTACAACAAATTAACCCTCGCTTTGAGGAGATTGAAAATAAACTGGAAGAAATTAAAAGTGAGATTAGAAATTTTGCCACCTCAAATGAAGGTGAGGCTGAATCTGAAGCTGGTGGTAATATTGAAGAGGAGCAAGTCGAACAACAACAGCAAAACATTCAACCGCCGCAGCAGCAAAATCAAAACCGCCAAGAGGCGAGAGAGGTTGTTAACGGGCGTGGTAGAGCTCGCGGTAATTCGCGTGCTCGAGATGCTCGTATGTTTTACCTCTTACGTCAATTGGATCGTGAGAGAGGATATAATGATCGTTATAGCCCATTCCGTGGGAATGGAGGTGGAAATCGTCGTCAACAACGTAACTTCTACCGTGGTTACTAATTTGAAGGAGGGAGGAGTGTTGGATCCTCGGACTTGTTATTTTGAAATTGATTTTCATTTTTTAAATAAATATTCTTTTTTCTAATTTTTAATTTGATTGACATTTATTCAAATATTTCATCCTCTCCAATATTCCCCCACTCAATATTAAACTTTCTTTATATTTAAAATGCCCTTTCCTTTATGTTTAAAAATAACCTTTCCTTTCCTCTCATAAATATTCTTTGTAGTATTTAAAAATAATCTTTTCCTTTCCCTATCAATTTAAACCTTTCCCATTGGCTCATATTCAAATAATAAATAACCTTGTTTAAACTTTGTTGTAATGCCTTCCCCTTCCTTAGCTATCTAAAATATACTTTTTACACAAATCGCCGCCCTTCTTCTCTTGACTATATAAACTCCAATCTTATACATTTACTTAACGTATTGAACGTACCACAACTTAAATAAACTTATTAAACGTATTTTTCTTGAATAAACTTGTTTTAAAGAAAAAGGCTTGAAATTTAATTTGGAAAAGTAACCTGAAAATTCAGAGAAAAATCTAAGCTTAAAACCGGGTCAAACTAAGTAAAAGAGGCAAATCCTTTAATAATAAAATTTAACTAATAATAAATAAATAATTCAAATGGTATGTTCGCACTTTTATCCAATATTGGGGTTGGATGGTGGCTATCCATCAGAGGTGGGTCGGAACAGCCCGAGGTGTCGGAAATCGGAACTGCCGGAAATCGGAAATGGCTCAAAAGTCGGAACTCGGAAATCGGAAATCAAAATTTTTTTTCGAAAATCGGAAATCGGAAATCGGAAGGAAAAAAACGCCGGAAATCGGAAATCGGAAGGCGGAAATCGGAAATAAAATTTTTATTTTCATAACTGAAATTTATTTAAAATTGTAAGGTGGTAAATTATGGGCCTTCTTAAGTGTAATTTGAGGGTGTAAAAGTTCTTTTTGCAACTCAAAAGTCAAATTCGAAGGGATTAAAAGAGATATTGTGGGATTTGGTAGATTAGACGGGATGTCAGAGAATTTATAGAATTCATAGGAATATTTGGAGATTAAAATTAAGGACTGATAGAGGGATGAGATATAAAGCGATTTGATAAATGAAATTTTAGAACCCACCTTGCTCGAAATACAGAGCTAAAGTTAACTATGACCCCTTCAACCAGAATCCATTCTAATCCTCCGATATACCATTAAACTTCTATTCACAGCGCCGCAGGCAAAAATTTTGAGAATTATAGAAGGCTAGAAGCCAGATTTCTACCTTTTTCAACGCCACGAGCGAAAATTTTGAAAATATTGGAAAAATCCTTAGTCGAAAATTTGCTTCCAAAATTGTCGGAAATCGGAAATTTTTCCAAAATTTCGGAAATCGGAAATCGGAAGGAAAAAAACGTCGGAAATCGGAAGTCGGAAATCGGAATTCCGACCCACCTCTGCTATCCATCCATAAAATATCTATCCATATAATATTCTATGAATTTTTCAGCATCACGAACATAATATCAACGTTATATTAAATGTCTTTTTGACTCCTTTTTTATTTTATTATAAAACATTTGTTGGGACAGCTTGCATTTGATTAGTTAGGGAAATAATTATTTTGCGAATTCGAGAGAAGCATTTTATTTTCACTCTTTTTTATATAATTATCTATCGCATCCCAATCAATCCAATCATCAAAAGTGTTAGATGAGGTTGGTTGAAAATTTTCTAAATATTTGTATTAAAATTATAGATTAAATTTTTTACCATCATGGCTGGATTGGTTCAGATTATTTTCATTGTTATCAATGACATTCTCTTTAGTGTAAATACTATTTTTATTATAATTTATATCAAAATGATTGTTAAAAATATTCTGATTTTCATTTCCAATATAATTTCCACTAGCACTACTATTGCTTGACTGTCCAACATCATTTATTGAATTGTTTGAATGGTTGTTGTTTTGTTGTGATTTTATTTGACATTCCGTATCTTTTTTGAAATTATATTAAATTATTATAAAATAGTTTATAAATAAGGAAATCTCTAGAAAAAATTTGTCAAGGCAATCTAAACAAAAATACTTTAGAAAGCAGCTGGGCTATAGCTATTTCTCTCCACTAGCTAGAGCAAAAGGTTAATCGGCGGCTGGGAGCGAACCAGAATCTTCAGTAGACTACTGACAGCCTTAGTAATTAAAAGCTACATATAAAGTGTGTTAAGAAATTATAACCCCCTTTGAATTTTTTGAGTTTCTTACCTTCCCGATGTCGGATTGTTCTGAAATTTCTGTAGTAGTGTTGTAATGTATATTAAATAATATTTACAAAATATCTTTAAAAATTTCTGATCTCAGACTTTTTTTTGGACGTTTTTCCAAAAAATCAGTGTTAATAAATTATAACCCCCCTTTAAAAAAATTTTTTTAACGCATGGAATATCTCTACAAAAAATTTTTCTGAACATATCTACCAATATAGATAAGAAATACAAAAGAAATGAAGTTCTTATGTATTCCCATCATCGAGATCTCGAAATCCGAAAATCAACGGAAAACCGGGGTAGACGTTTTTAAAAAATATTTTCGACCCCTTACAGGTGAAATAAAAATTTTATTTTGGGCTTATCTGAAAGCCCTTTAAATTTGCTACAAGATAGCATTCATTTTATTTTCAGAAAAAAATTCGCCTATAAGAAACTATGAGTTTAAATTATAGGTTAAATTTCTATCAATTTTTGGGGGCGTTTGAGTGATTTCTATGACTTGAAAATTTATCACTTTGTCTCTCGACGGTGAATTTTTTCTATATAATGAGATAAAAACTATCTTGTAGAAAATTTAAAGGGCTTTCAGATAAGCCTAAAATAAAATTTTTATTTCACCTGTAAGGGGTCGAAAATATTTTTTAAAAACGTCTACCCCGGTTTTCCGTTGATTTTCGGATTTCGAGATCTCGATGATGGGAATACATAAGAACTTCATTTCTTTTGTATTTCTTATCTATATTGGTAGATATGTTCAGAAAAATTTTTGTAGAGATATTCCATGCGTTAAAAAAATTTTTTTAAAGGGGGGTTATAATTTATTAACACTGATTTTTTGGAAAAACGTCCAAAAAAAAGTCTGAGATCAGAAATTTTTAAAGATATTTTGTAAATATTATTTAATATACATTACAACACTACTACAGAAATTTCAGAACAATCCGACATCGGGAAGGTAAGAAACTCAAAAAATTCAAGGGGGGTTATAATTTCTTAACACACTATATGCTTTACTTTCTTTTTTAAATAAAATCAGAAAAACTTTCCTTATTTTAAAACAATTAAAAGATTACCATTTTCAAAAATATCCCAATCAAATTGATCTAACGTTAGTTCATCAAATAAATTATTTTTATTTTGAATAATATTACCGTTAATTTTAGAATTATCTTTTTTCTCAATTATTTTTGAATTATTATTTTCATCACAGTTTATTTTAGTTTCAGTGCTGTGTTTTTTGCCCTTTCCTTTTCGTCCACTACCGGAATTATTTCGTTTTCGGGGCTAAAATTTTCAATAAATTAAATGTAAAGCAAATTTGAATTGATAAAATAAATTTGAATTGATAAAATATTTTTAACTGATAAAATAGTTTTAAAAAATTTTAAAAATAAAATTATAAAAAAATAATTTGTAAAAAATTACATTTTTTGTGCCTTTATTCTGTTGAGTTTTTAAGGCTAAAAATAATCATAATCGTTTAATTATTTCCTATTTAAAATATAAATTTCAAGGATGGGGAACAAATTTAGACATTTTTAGCTTATTTACTTTTTTTAATTGATCCATTAATTTTAGAATTAATTTTCGCTCCAGCAAAAAGTTTCAGAGAGGGGCAGAAAGGAATCATTTTTGATGCCGAATTTTTGATATGTTTAGAAGGCCATATGCCAAAAAATTCGCTAAATCCTCGCGCCAAATTTTTCCCTTCCCCATTTCGAGATGTGAGGTGGAGTAAGAATATTATTTTTTGCTTGCACAAATTTTATACAAAACCTTTATAAAATTATTTTATTTTCTACATACATTCATTATTCTTTGAATATCCACTTCCATAGTATTCTATTTGCTTATTTAAATTATTTACCCATTGTTGTATTCCTTCAAGTGTGGTCATCGGGTTTTTATTATCATTTAAAGAATTATTATTCGGATTAATTATTTGTTTTTTGATTAATTGACTTTCTTTGTTATTTTGATGGGGAGTATCTCTAAAATGAAAATATTATTTAAATATAAGTAGGGATGCCAGCTCAACTCGAAAGATCGAGCGAGGCATGGCTTTTCAGCTCGAAAAGCTCGGAAACGAACCGAATCGAAAAAAACCAAGCTCGAAAAATATGCACCGAACGTCAGCTCGAACAGAAAACGGCAACCCTAAATAAAAGGCATTTCTCTGCAATTTTAAGGAATCTCTTTAATAATATTTATCTATTGAGAAAATTTTAATCTAAACTAGTGTAGGACGAGGTTAATGACAACTTCAAATTAAAATTTCTTTTTAATTTTTAATTTTATTTAAATATAAAGCATTGCTCACATAAAATTCATATTTTGGTTAATTATTTTAATATTCTTGTTTATTTCATCAAAACAAATATACACGGGCTCTTTCCCTTTATTTTTATTATTCAATTTATTTTCATTTATTCTTTCAAAATTTTTTGAATTATTATTCTCTCCACAATTTATTTTTATAATTTTTCTTTCTCCAATTATTTTACAATCATCGTCATCAGATTCCGATTCCTTTTGATTTGACAATTGTTTATTTTTATTGGGTTTATCCGAAATCTTTTCAGAATTGTTTTGATTTAAATTTGAGGTTTCATTAGTTTGTTTGTTTGATTTAGATATTTTATTATTAAGATTATTTGTTTGATTTTGATTAACAACAGAAGCGTCAGCATATTCAAACAATTCAACTAAATATTGAATTTAAATTTAGAAATTAATTCACATCTGAGTGAATTTTTCTATAAATATTTTTCTATAAAATTTTAGATTGGGGAAGAATAAGGTAGGGGAATAAGGTTGCGTCAATGAAATCTTCGAAAATCGAAAATAGTTTTCAAAATCATTGAAATCGAACGAAAAAAACCTCAAAAATAGAGCTAAAAATCTTCCTTTCCTGCGCCGCAAGAAAAAAATTTTTTAAATTTATGATGGCAAGAGAAGCCATAATTCCTCTTTTTTGCCGCCAAAAATTCAAATTTTTTCAGAAATTTGTAAATCTAAAGGAAAAACCTCAAAATCGGAAATCGAAATCTCCAAACAGCTCTGTCTTCTAGACATGAACATGGCTGGCCAGGTCATTCTTATAAAAAAATGAGTCGGACCATGGAATTTGAAAAGTCTGAAGATGAACCCTAATAATATTTAATTTTCTAACATCCTCCTTTTGCCTAATATCTATGTATAAAAATTAACAGTTCAATTTTTTAAACCCTATTACTTACCAATTGGTGATATTTTTACTTTTTTGTTAGCATTTTCCTTTCTTTTTGGAGCAGCTTCGAGTCTAACAAATAAAACAAATAATAAACAATAAAAAGACAAAATATTTAAAAAATTCATTTTAATTGTAATTTAATTTTAAAAATTATTTTTGATTTAAAAGAATTAATTTTTTAATAAAATTATATAATAATATACATATTTAAATTATTTGTTAATTTAAAGTTTTATTTACTATTTATAATATAATAATATTTCTAAATATTTTATTACATTATACCTATAATAAATAGAAAATTTTTTTAGAAAAAAAAATATCGGCCGGCCGAAGGCCGGCCGCTTCCTGAGAGTGTGACATCTTGGGGGGTACTTTTAATGGGCTTTTCAGGAAAAATACCGGTGGGACCATACGATGAACTTTTGGCACTGAAACGGCCGTGGCGAAGTGGCCAAATCCTGAACCGTCCGTCGGATCGAAAAACGCTTGCTGGGAGGAAACTAAGTTGGACCAAGGGTAATCCAACAAAAAAAAAATTTTGAAAATCGGTTGAACCCCCGGGGACTTATGGGTGCGCAAAAATTTTTGGGACGAAATGGGTTTTGGCAAAATGTCGCGCCGTAGGGGTAACTTTTTAACGGCTGGGCCGAATTGGCTGCAACTTGGGGGTCATATGTAAACGGCCAAGGGAAATTCAATGGGCATGGCCGTTTTGGTGCCGCACTTGAGTGTGGCACTGAAACGGCCAAAAGTCAAAAAAACACCGAGGCCGAAGGCGGGACAACCAACCACAGGTGTCGAATGCACCACAGCGGTCAAACCCAAAGTAAAAGTCAAACATTGGCGTTTGGGGGCCGAAGGCCCCCAAATGCCTCGTGACAACCCACCACAGTTGCCAAATGCACCACAGCCGTCAAACCCAAAGTAAAAGTCAAACATTGGCGTTTGGGGGCCGAAGGCCCCCAAACGCCTCGGGACAACCCACCACAGTTGCTGAATGCACCAAAACGGTCAAACCCGAAGCAAGAGTCTAACATTGGCGTTTGGGGGCCGAAGGCCCCCAAATGCCTCGTGACAACGCACCACAGTTGCCAAATGCACCACAGCGGTCAAACCCAAAGTAAAAGTCAAACATTGGCGTTTGGGGGCCGAAGGCCCCCAAATGCCTCGTGACAACCCACCGCAGTTGTCAAATGCACCACAGCGGTCAATCCCATCGCAAGAGTCTAACATTGGCGTTTGGGGGCCGAAGGCCCCCAAACGCCTCGGGACAACCCACAACAGTTGTCGAATGCACCACAGCGGTCAAACCCATCGCGGGCCGGAGGCCCGCCGTAGCGAGGGCCGAAGGCCCGAGCATTCATTACATCTAAAAGGCAAAACAATAGTCGAAGGCAGGGCACGGCGGGCCGGAGGCCCGCCGTAAGCGAGGGCCGAAGGCCCGAGCATTCATTACATCTAAAACGCTGAGCAATAGTTAAAGGCAGGGCACGGCGGGCCGGATGCACGCCGTAAGCGAGGGCCGAAGGCCCGAGCTTTCATTACATCTAAAACGCAGAGCAATAGTCAAAGGCAGAGCAAACTTTACCGGCGAGGGCCGAAGGCCCGAAGCAATGAAAAGGCAGGGCTAAACTTACCGGCGAGGGCCGAAGGCCCGAAGCAATGAAAAGGCATGGCTAAACCCTTCTTTTAGCCATCCACACATTCTAGCAGCGCGCGAAGCGCGCCCCAAAGCCGATAGGCTTTCCAACGGGCAGAGCCCAATTTAAACCCAAAGCAAAATTAAACCGCCAGAGTTTCCTAATGGGAATTGCATACGCACTACGCCGCCATCGCATACGTAACCTACAGCTAGTTACTATATACCTATAATTCAGGGAGTGTTTTTTCTAAGAAAAAAAATAACGGCCGGCCGAAGGCCGGCACGGATTTGGGAGTTTGACATTCGGGGGGTAGTTTGGTCCGGGGCATCCAGGAAAATTATCGAGAAGTCGAAATAATTGCCCCCTGGTACCTAAATCGCTTAAGCGCCGGGGCTATCTTTTTAACGGGGGGTTATAGCGAAAAACGTCTGCTGGGAGGATGATGTACGGCTATTAGTAGAGTTCGAATGCAAAAAACTCGAAGTCGAAATTCGGACCTGAAGGGTACTTATTAAAATATAGTCAAAAATTAGAAATTTTTTGAGCGCAAAAAATTTCGAAAAAATCCGAAAATGGAGGTGTAGGGGTAGAATTTCGAAAAACCCAAAATTTTTCGGTTTTTCGAAATTTTTTCGGGATTTTTGCCTACTGACGGTTCTAATGTATTTTTCTTGAATTAAGCAGATTTATCTACATATTTTGGGATTTTAAAATTTTCAAAAAAAGTATACCTTGGCCGAGATATGATTTTTTGAAAATTTTAGCGATTTTTTCTGGCTGAAATTTCAGGCCCAAAAAATATTTTTTCAAAATCCAATATAGATATGGCAAATGAGGTATCATTCGAAAGCTCTCATCGAGCTGGATATAAAAATATTTTTTTCGAATTTTTTCGGTACTTATTGACGAATGTACGGAGGTTCTAAAATTTGGGGGATGGAGTACAGTATCCGGAGAATTATGGTAGGAAGAGAGAAAAAATGATTGACAGTTGAAATGATGGCAGAGAGGCGAAATTTTTCTGCGTCTCTGACATTCGGGGCAACCCGTAGAAGAAATTAAAGGGAAATTTTGTATATGGGGGAAAATTTTGTGGGAGGGTAAGCTGGATCCTGTTGTGGATCCGAAGCAGAGATGCTTCGTGAAGCAGTTATGCTTCGAAATTTTGTTTTGGATTGGACTCATCCTTCTAATTGAAAGGATGAGTCCAATCATCCTTCTAATTGAAAGGATGAGTACAATCATCCTTCTAATTGAAAGGATGAGTCCAATCATCCTTCTAATTGAAAGGATGAGTCCAATCGAGGGGCCGAAGGCCCGGAGTGACTCTAAGTGGAAGGATGAGTCCAATCGAGGGATGAAGGATGAGTCTAAGATGAAGGATGAGTCCAATCGAGGGGAAGACGAGGGCCGAAGGCCCGAAGTGACTCTAAGAAGGCCCGAGCTTTCATTACATCTAAAAGGCAAAGCAATTGGGAAGGAAAAGTAAATCGAAGGGAAGACGAGGGCAGAAGGCCCGAAGTGACTGAATTGAAAGGATGAGTCCAATCGAAGGGAAGACGAGGGCCGAAGGCCCGAAGTGACTCTAAGTGGAAGGAAGAGTCCAATCGAAGGGAAGACGAGTAGAATACATTTTTCCTGGATTAAGCAGATTTTTCTACATATTTTGGGATTTTAAAATTTTCAAAAAAGTTATACCTTGGGCGAGATATGATTTTTTGAAAATTTTAGGGATTTTTTCTGGCTGAAATTTCAGGCCCAAAAAATATTTTTTCAAAATCCAATATAGATATGGCAAATGAGGTATCATTCGAAAGCTCTCATCGAGCTGGATATTTTTGACCCCTCGAATTTTTCAAAAGGGGTACCCCTTTTGGGGGATATGAGGGATTTTTTAGGGGATCATAACTTTTTGTGGGATTATCGGAATGTGATGGGGTTTGCTTTATAAAATAGAGTAAAAAATTAGAAATTTTTTGAGCCTAAAAAATTTCGAAAAAATTCGAAATTGGAGGTGTAGGGGTCTAATTTCGAAAAACCCCAAATTTTTTGATTTTTCGAAATTTTTTCGGGATTTTTGCCGGCAGTTCTGGCCGACAGTATTTTTCTTGGATAGAGCAGAATTTTCTGCATCTTATAGAATTTTAAAATTTTTAAAAAAGGTTTACTTTGGGCGAGATATGATTTTTTAAAAATTTCAGTGATTTTTTTCGGCTGAAATTCTCGGCCGAAAAAAATATTTTTTCAAAGTGGGTATAAATAGGGCAAATGAGATATCTATCGAAAGCTCTCATCGAGCTGGATATAAAAATATTTTTTTCGAACTTTTTCGGTACATTTTGACGAATGTACAGAGCTTCGAAAATTTGTGGGGCTGAGTACAGTACCCGGAGAATGATGGGAGAGAGGGAAGAAAAATGATTGACAGGTCAAATGTAAGGAAGAGAGGAGAAATTTTTCTCCGTCTCTGACCATGCCGGGCAAACCGGCGAAGAACTTAGGGGTGAATTTTGTATATTGGGAAAAATTTTGTGGGGTGATAAGCTGGATCCTGTTATGGATCCGAAGCAGAAGCATGCTTCTGCTTCACATTTTTGCTTCAGTTTCGAATTTTTGAAACTTGAAGCAAATTTGCTTCGAGTTTTGAATTTTCGAAACTTGAAGCAAATTTGCTTCAAGTTTTCCAAATTTTTGATTTCGAAGCAGTTTTGCTTCAACTTTTATAAAATTTTGTTTTTAGTGGACCAAAGTGGAAGGATGAGTCCGAATGAAAGAAACACGAGGGCCGAAGGCCCGAAGTGACTCTAAGTGGAAGGATGAGTCCGAATTGACTC